CTGAGAGAGAGTGACTGGCCCAAGGTCACCCAGCTGGCTTTGTGCCTAGGCGGGACTAGAACTCAGGGTCTCCCAGTTTCTAGCTTGGTGCCTTAACCACTACATCAAACTGACTCTCAATCCCAATAATAACATAATTTGAGTCAAATTTGTAAACCAAATTTACAAAACAGTAAGAACTAATTAATAAATAATATTCCATATACCTCTGATATTCTTCACTCAGCTATTTTTCTATGAATCTCAAGTTTTACTAGAAGAGAGAAACTTTCAAACGTAGTTGTACTGATGTTCATATTGTGTTATGTGTGCATGGTCTAAGTAATCCTTCACTACAGTTATTTCAAACTATGAACTGTAAAGAAAAGTGGATACATTTCTTGAAAAATGAAGTCATCTTGTGGGAAGCATCCACTACACCCTGCTCCTCAAAATCGTGTAAAATGTATATCTGTACCAGTGAACTCTGCTTGTACCCACAGATGCAAATATAAAATGTTCTGGAAAGACTGATGTAATATATGTTTTGCCCAATAAAGTCAATGTGATTACTTAAGGCTTGCATGTCCTGGTGAGAAATTCTAGCACTGATCCCTTCCTCAAACATTGCTTACCAGTTAAACAATCCCTCCCCTGCAACCTCTGATGCTTGTTTTCTATGCCCTAAATAATTTCCCTCTTTTCCTCTGGGTAGTTAACGGATGACTCACTCAGATCAGGTGAGCCCGAAGAAGCAAGTGAGAAAGGCTCTCTGGTTTGCTGTGAAGTGCTTCTATGTTAATAGTAATTCCAACTAGATATCCAAGATGTTCTTCTGTCTTTTTTACTCCCCACCCCAACCCCCCAGGTTGTTTATTGCAAGGTTAAATACATTTATGAACATATGCATCACTAGTTCCCATTGGTGAATGTGGACATTTGAGATAGTAATTTGTAGCCAGTAAGATTTTTTCTTGTGGTACCTGCAGATCCACCGGGAAGTGGTCCCTGCCCATACTGTCTACGCCCTCAATATTGAAAGGGTCATCCTGAAACTCTGGCACCCAAACCATGAGGAACTTCAGCAAGACAAAATCCATCGGCAGAGGTTGGCCGCAAAGGAAGGCCTCCTAATGTGCTAAGACCGTTGCCAGTGCTGACTTTGGGCTGGACTAATATATCTTGGATACGCCAGTTGGCATTTTGACTTTGGAATCTCAACATTTGCATTATTTTACGAGCGCTTCCAGGTGGAAGTGTGGACATGTTTCCCATGGAAATATGACTCAAACTGAAGACATACGGTGTAAGCCAAAACCCTGATTGCTTAGAGGATTGAATATTTTGCTGACCAAACTGAACAACATTAATTCTGAAAATCTTTCTGCTCCGCTGGAAAATGGATGTTGCAGCAGAAGCCCCATTTTTGTTTTCATTCTGACCTTAATATATAATATGATGCTCAGTCAGTATCTATGGTACAAAGATGCAGTTCTTACAGTCACCAGATACATAGGTCATCTGAGCTACTGCCTTGGGCTGCTTTTACAAACATATACAAGGTTTGTAAAAGCAGACCAAGGCAGACACACACGCACCCACATACATACATACTGCACAAAGCTTTGTTTTGTTGATATTTCTTTTGTATAATATGGGTTTATACATATGGGAGAAGTCGTGATTCATTAAAATAAATTTGTTGCAAGACAGTTTTCATTAAAAAAAGAATCTCTTTTTTCTTTGTAAAAACAGCAATCTTTAAGTCTGTGAAAAGACCCTAAAATATATAATTATCACTGATTATCTTTTAAAATATATATTTTGCTTCTTTGAAAGTTTAAAATAACCAAGTTGTTTGCTTAGTAATATCTGTAACAGAATTCATATCTTTTTAAAAGTGAATCTCCTTCACCCTACACAATGTTTCATAGCAGAAATAGAGAACAGAGAATTTTTTATTTGTGATCCAGCAGTATTTTGTAATACATATGAATGAGATAGGGGCTGGCCAAACAATGGTAAAAAATTCCTTAATCGCAAATGATAGTATCACAAAACCCAGAACTAGTTGGGATTGTACCATAGGAAGCGCTTTTTTTTTTTTGTTCTGCAGTTCTATCTAGAGGATGCCTGAGTCTCCAGTGCAAGGACAAATCCCCATTTATTTCTAGCAAACAAATAATAAAAATAAATCATAAACACTATTTGATATTACAAAGATTTGGCACAGCTCCTCTTCAATGAAGATTGCTGCAAGAGAACTTCCAGCCTGAATCTGTTGGTCACTTTCTTCAGTGAAAGTGAGGACAGTTTTTTTTACACAGGGAGGAATTACTGCCATACAGATTTGAATGTGTTCCATGTTAAAGGGACTTAGAAAAAATACAAGAAAGGTGATTTGTCATCCATTCTAAAGGAAGAGACTGTAAATGTATCTAATAAATGAATCTATTGCCAGTTCATTCCTGTAAGCATGGATTCTTCATTACTCAGATGCTAAAAAGAACCCCAAGCACAGAGTTCATCAAGCCTCTTCAATCAGCAAAACGGAAGTATTCCATTTCAGGAGTGAAAGACCAGACTGTTCATAAAATACATCTTTCAGCACCGTGATAAACAAATTCATTTCCAAACAATTGCTGTTGATGTCAGTGGGAATGCGTCCTGAGGCCTTACTGGCCCAATCCTGTGTATGTTTGTTTAGAAATAAGTTCCATCTTGTTTGGCGTGTCTTAATCCAAAGTATACATTTACAATTGCAGAAGAATTTGAAGTTGGGCAGTTTGTGTCTTGCCTAAGTCCATTTGCACTGTTAAAATCCAGTGGTTAATAAAATAGTTACAAATGTGGAAGTACCCAGTTCAAATTCCACCTTAGCTATTAAATATTGCAGTGATTTTAAGCTCTTGATCTTCCATATGCTACATGGAGAAATAATAAGCAACTTTTAAGTCATTATAACCACTGGCGGGGGGGGGGGATGAGCTGTCAACAACATCAAAATGGCAGGCACAGGCTTTGATCTTCCAGTCATGCCTGCCATTTTGACATTGTTGACTGACCCCTGCTCTAATCCTAACCCTGATTATTAGATGGTGGATGCCATATTAGTGGCAAAAAGCAAATGATCTTTTATTAATACCTTCTGGATACATTGGGCTACTCTGATTGTTCCTGTGCTGCCTGGGATGATGGAGGATTCAAACCTGGTCCAACACAGGTTAGGTAAGGCTGCTTTAGAGGAAAGAACAGGACTGCTTGTGGGTGACATGCCACTTGGAGAAGGGGTGTAGTCACTGCTGCAATAACTGGGCCTGGGTTAAAGTTTGGAAACTCTTCTAAAATTGATCACTTGATGATTGCATCTGACCAGTAGTGTAAATACAGTCAAGGCAAGGAGGGTAGCCACTCTGAGGACTGAGCTATATTTCTACACAGAAGTAGTTGTGCTAACACTTCCTGCCTGCCACCAACAACAAATAGGATGTCCAAGGGGTTTGGTAAAAAAAGTCAAGATGGTGGGAATGGCCATGCAATCAAAGCTCCATTTTTTAATGTGTGAAATGACAACATCTCGTCCTTTTTTTACTATACCCTGCAGACACCCCTGCCTATCTCCAACAGTAGCCTTTTGCAGTACTTTTTATGGCTGACTGTTGTTTGTTAGGAGAAGGACAGGACCAATATGAAGCTAAGACATTCGGGTCTGATCTCTCTCCTGTCTTCCTTGGGAAAATAGGACATGGAGCATCTTCTATCTTGGAAACATCCTTAATTTTTCTAGTCCTAAAACTTAACTCTTATTTTAATAGATACCTATGTATGATATGACTCAATTTGTTTCTTCTCCAGCTGCACCCAAGCAGATACCAGCATTTCACAGTTGAAAACATGCATCTAGATATACCCATGACTCTGATTACAATCAGCTCCTTGGGATTCCTCTTATTTTGCCCCGCAAATAGAAGAAAATAGTTTTGCCCATAATTTGACAGGTTGAAAGGTGGGGGCAAGCCCTTTTTAAGTGGTTTTGAGTGAACATTAATCTGTGAAAAACAGAAAGAGGGAAAGGAAAAGCCAGTCTGTCCCCACCCGGTGATGTGATCGGTGCCTCTCTCGTTTCTGCTCCTCTGCTCAGAAACACTAGATTGAATGTGATTGGCCAAAGGAGCTGGCTGGGATTCAAGGCAGCCGCTTTATATCTTTCTGAAAAAAGGCAGGCTGTGTTACAGACAGCGCTTCAGCCTTCTCCCACACCATCTGCTTGGCTTCAAGGACACAATCACCAAACGGCAAGATGTGCAAAGGACTAGCAGCCTTGCCCCACACATGCCTGGAGAGGTGAGAGAACAGGTTTATGCCTATCAAAGAGGGATGTGACGAGGGTGATGGAGAGAACGGAGACACTGCAGCTATCTGGCAGAATAAAACCTTAGTCCATCTCTAGCAGAAGAGGTGCCTGGTTAAAGAAATGTGGGGAAGTTCTGCTCTCATTCAGTTCTGGAGGAATTAAGCAGGTGAACTGACCAATCCTCTGGCCTTTATTTCTGATTGGTCAGGGGGCCAGAGAGTTAAATTGCATTTGGATGCATAACCCTAAAAAAAAGAGAATGAGGAGCAGAATTCACTCAAAGTATTGTTAAATCTACTGCGGGTGGGGGTATGATGTATCGCAGAGCATGGGTTAGTAGTATGACATTCCCACCCAAAGCAGCATATTTAAAAGCTTTTTTTCTTCAGTGGAAATTGAAAAAGGCTTTCAAAAGGGAAAATTATGAACAAGGGAAAGATTCGTTTTCAGTTCTAGCCATGATGCACTTTAAAACTCTCTCTCTATATTTCTCTCTCTCTCTCTCTCTCTCTCTCTCACACACACACACACACACCGTTTTACAAGAATTTGGTGACAGACACAATCTTACATGGACTCTTCTTGTCATGTTTTGTTTGGCTTTTTCTTATTCTTTTAATTACTTTCCTCCCAGCTTCATGCTGAAACCCAAGATATAAGCAGAAGCCTACTGAGGTAAATGTCTTATGACAATTAAATCATCATCAACATCATCATCATCTGATCATTGTTCAAAAACCTTTTCAGGGATCATAAGACACCAGTTTGTCTTACGTTTCCATCTGAATACAAGTGAAAAACAAGATATCTTTCAAGCTTTCATTCACTCACCTACCCACTCATTTACTCATTCATATAAACAGTCTGTAAATCCTTATAACCACTTGTAGCTATTATAAAGAAATATAAATTTTAATTTTAAATACAGGTGAAGACATTGTCCTCAAGAGCAGAAAATTCTGTATTTGCTAACTAGCAATAAAAGAGCAGAATTCTATCATGGTATTGGGACTGATTTATTTATTTGGGGGAATATTTCAGCAAATTATCATCAGCTTGCAATCTGAAATAACCCAGAGTCTAGTTTATTATGTCAGGAAGCATCAAGGCCCACTATTAATGATTTTACTAATTCTCACTTTCACACCTTGCTTTGCATCAATACACAGTTATGCTATTCTTCAACACATTTCACTAAAAAGAAAGAAAGAAAGAAAGAAAGAAAGAAAGAAAGAAAGAAAGAAAGAAAGAAAGAAAGAAAGAAAGAAAGAAAAGCAGGTTTAAGTGCAATCTTTTTGTATTTCTAGTGACTAGATAATAAAGGAAAAGAAATTGGTGGCTTAGATAAATTGCATAATTGTACACCCTGATAAATGATACTGTGATAAAATTATGGAATAAAATCAAGAAGAGCAGGATCACAAACATGAAAGTATATGTGATGAAGAGCCATAAGTGTCAAACATTTTTTATCAGCACTTGTAATTAGCCTGAAAAACAACCAAAAAGTGACATAAAAGACTTAAGAGTAGCCAATAATTTACCACAATGGCTCCAGCATCATGCATGAACAAAGAAGCCATTTGAATAATTTTGCTTTAAGGTGATTGATTAGAATCTATGGCTTCTGGATCTTCTGCCTGCATGTGCTTCTCTTTCTATGATTTTACCCCTCTGTCTATAAGCTATTTTAATTCAGACAGATTTCCCCCCCCCCCCAAAAAAAGGGCCATGTGGAAGAAGACAGAGTTTGTTTTTTTAGTCATCTAAATTAATTTTTATTATTCCATCCAGGGTTCCTCAAAATACATCTGGAAAACAGAAGGGTGCAAATATACATGTCAAACCTCACTGGTTCAAGAGTAGCTTTTGATTTCTGAGTGCAAGTGTATGTGTGTGTGTCTAGTGTCTGTGTGATTGCCAATTAATTTTTGCAGACATTCTTCTGAGTTATGACATAGATTATGATATAAAGTGAGATTCCATTGATTGATAGTGGAAAAGTCAAGTCATTTAATTGTTCTCTTATATCTTTTGCCAGTTGCTTTATTTTATTTATCTTTTAGTGTTTGGTTAATGTCTGAAGCCATATTTTGTCACATGTTTGGCATCATCAGAGCTATGCTGCTTTGCAATGAAATGTTCGCCTTATGTATATGACTGCTCCAGACAAAGAGATGGAGCCTGCAATGTTCACACCTTGTTTTGCATCAATGCATAGTTATACTATTCTTCAACACATTTCACTGAAAAAAAAGAAAAGCAGGTTTAAGTACAGTCTTTTTTGTATTTCTAGTGACTAAAGGGCACAAAGCTAAATGACATATAACAAAATCCTACGGAAGACAGAATCAAGATTCAAAAGGATCTTGACAGGCTAAAAAAGGCTAGTTAAAGGGCACAGAATGGGCTCCGTAGCCTACTCCACTCAGCTCCATCCATCCCCATTCTCTTGACACCTGCCATCTCAGATTATCATCTTGTTGTGTCTAATGACAGCCCTGATGTGCATGGATAAGAGTTTATACTCCTTTATCCATAAGGAATAGATGGAAAATTTGCACCTGAAAAGAGCAATAGCCTTACTTGAACCCTTTCTAATATTCAGAACTAGACTTTTCTCGGCTGTGTTATCTTTAGAACCTCCTACTGAGGTGTAACCCTGTACTACCAAAATATCCTACCAAAATGGGCAAGAAATTGTTTTTATTATCTGTAAAATCTAGAACATCAGAACTTAAATTTTCTCATGCATGTGTACGTGTGTGTATGCATGCACAAGGGGGTGTGTTTGGCTGGTCCATGGTTATTTATTTTGTAGTTTACAAGACATAAGGTATTCTTTCTATTATTGGGGTAGAGAAGGTGCAGCTTGAATACACTCTGTGCAGTTTTAATGAGAGTGTCCTTATTCAAGAGACCCCTCGGTCAACAGGGAGCATGGGGACTTAGCCACCCTTTGGCCTATGAAGAAGGCTGTTCCCGGGTCAAATGAGTAGATTTCTTGGAACGGCTAATGATGGAAATGGCCTTAGAATCTGCTGATGTCCTGCAAAGACATGGATGAGTAAAGCTTACACTTCAGGATTTGAAGAGCCACTAAAAGCATAACATCTTGAGAACTCTGGGGTTTCCTGTGTATGGAAATAGAAATTAAAGCAATTTAAAAGACTTATGATTAATGATGTCAAGAGACTTTCAAGGGCTCCATTACATATTACATTCTTTGATGATCTATCTTGGAAATGTCTGAGGAAGAAAAACAGAAGCTGCCTCTATGATTGATTGATTCGTTTATGTAATGGGCATGCTATTCCTTACATTTAAATTCACAGAGTACATTATAGTAACTAAACTTTAAAATCAAATACAACATGAAATATAAAGGATCAACTAGCAAATAAGATGTTTCAGAATTTTTTTGCAAGAGTTCTAACAACTAAACCAGTATGTAAATAAATTCTGGAAGGTGTGAGAGCAAATTTCCTCGAGAATGCATTCTGAGTACCAAAGCTTTATGCTCAGCTGCTGCCAACTTGCTAGAAGACTCTAAGGAGCTTCCTTGTTCAGAGGTGCTGCACTTCTTTTCAGCAGCATAGCTGTCACTTTTGTCAGCACTGGGATGCAAAATGATGAGAGGGTGTGAATGAGGATAAGACTCGAGATGAAATAAAGAGCTCAGCAAGGCAGTTTAAGGGAACCATTTTTGTGCTTGTTTTTAATTTAAACATTTGCCGTTCCCTATTATAGGACATGGAGGGCACTCAGTTTGGTTCATCCTATTTATTCTAAGACATGGCGTATCAGAGCAGAGGAGATCCCTGGAAGACTTTAGGTTTATAAGGGCTATTTATAAGACACATTTTTAAAGAGTATCAGGTAAGATTAGTATTGTGCAATCCCTCTGCCCTATTCATATTTATATTATGGGGCCCAGATCCTAGATATCTGGTACAAGTCACAAGGACATCAGATGTGATATATTGCCACCATGCAAATGACATGAATTATATTATTTGCATCATTTGTACAATGATGTACCCTTCCTTATTCCCCTACAGTGCCTGTGCCCATGGTCCACTTATAACCCTCCTCCTTTTCCCCATCACATTTTCCATAAGTTTTGCTTCCAGAGATGATCCATCATGGAGAAAAAGAGTTGATAGCTGCAATTGTCCATCTGGAAGTACTCTAAAGCTGGGTTCCTGCACTGAGTTAAGACTATAATGTGATCTATTTAATTTTTTTGCTTAATGTGTTGTCTGAATCCAGGGGTTGTGATTCCAAGTGACAATCCAGATTTTAGGATTTAGCATCTTGTATGAATCCAGGGAATCATGAGTAAGCAAATCATAACTTTGTGTATTCTATGAACACAGCCAGACAAATGCATTTAGTTTCATGTGTAGTTTCGCCCAAAGATATCTATTAGCACATAGGCTTTATTAACACGCTTAATTGGATCATTAGTACAGCTGATATGTGAGAGTGAATAGTAGAGCTGATATGTCATGCAACCACCAGAATCAAGTTAGAAGGAGTGGTAGAGGGGGCTAACTCCAAAATCTCCTGGTGTTGTTTTGGCCTAAGTAATCACCTTTGGTTAGCCATGTTTTGTAAACATGGAAAAAAGAGTTTAAGTGGAAGATTAACCCTCTTTTCCTATTGCTAGTAGAAAAGCAAAATCTTAGCAGGTCAGCCACCCCAAGAGGACTCCTGTAGGAATGTTGTTTCTTCATTTTATACCCCATGTCCTGTCCATTCCCCCAAGCCTCATAGGGCAGTTGAAAGAAAGGAAAGAAAGGATGGGAGTGCATAAGCCTTCCCCAGTTCTGTCTCTGGTGGTGCCAGCACCACTCAGGCCCTCCCAGACTTTTGTAGACTTTCTTCCCATATTTTTTTTTAAACAGAAGTGACTATCTCCCAGCAATCTTGGTGGTGGCTGAGAGGTGTTCAAAGATGGTCCCTCCCCATTTGACCAGGACATCTGTGATCATATGCTGCTGGCGTACTGGGTCTCTATTTTCCCCAGGATAGTTGCTGGCTGGGTCAACCATGTAGTCTGAATATAGTCATAGTACCCAGGAATCAGCAACCTGTGACTTGCAGACAAGGCTAAAATATAACTCTGAGTAGTTATCTGGTTTGTGTGCTTTGGACTTAGCCCAGTTATTGTGGTTTATTCAGTCAAGCAAAGCATGATCAAGTACAATGTATGAAACCAGCCTAAGCTTCACAAATAGTGAAATTATTGTGGGAACCCTGAGTATGATTCCTGCTTCCTTTTCATTCTCATGTTAGTCTCATGCATCAATTGCATTCCCTCAGCCTAATAATTCATGGGGCTGCCATGGGACTCAACAGTGTGTCCTTCACAAGGAATAACCTGGGCTAGATCAGACCAAGGGCCTGTCTGGTCCAAAATGTTGTTCCCATATGCCAATCAGATTCCATCAGGAAGCCCACACACAGATCAAAAGCATAAGACAATGTTTCTACTTATTGACTCCAATGGGTGGCAATAAAGATACACTCTCTCTAATATTAGAACCAGCATATAACCATAATAGCAAATACCTATTGCTCTTACCTCTATCCCCTTTTAAAACTATCAGAGTCTCTGTGGTGGAGAATTATTTTGTAATTTAGCAATCATTACCTGTCCTCAATCTTCTGCCATTCATTCTAAATGAGTGAGAGATAAATAAGAAAAATATTATTTTAAAAATGAATAACTTCAGCTGAAATTGAATGGTATAGGATGTCAGTTGCTGTACTGACTGGGAATGGTAGGAGTTGTGGTCAAACAGATCAAGAAATACCAGGTTCGATCAAGTCATCTTAACTGAATGTATTCTGCTATTTTCAGCATGTAGGAAGAATGTAACATATTTGAATCTCATAGCTTTCAGAATGCACTGCAGTTCAAATGGGGCACTTTTTTCAATCTTGCATTTAGTGGCAACTATGTTCATGTATTTTTTTATAATCTTTCTCTCCAGAGCCAAAGAAATCAAGACCAAGTTGGGCACGCTCCTCCAGAAGCCAGACTCAGCTATTGACCTGATTATCCCTTACCCGGAGAAGCCAGCAAAGGTTCAAAAGTAGGAATATATTTATAAGTCCATTTATCATGTCCATACTTAAGAGCTTAGGTGAGAGTGAGAAGGTTTCCCATCCCTGATTAACATATGCTTTGATCTGTAGCCAGCTGTGATTCTATTTCCTTTTAGCATTGCTTTTCCATTTTACTAAGGGACACTTTTCATAATGTTACTTTGAACACTCACAAGTCATTTGCATTATGCATAAATAATGTCAGAACTGCAAGCTATCCTCATTGCAATGCAATTGCAAATCGCAGACTGAAGACCCATTAAAATTGAACATTTGTTCATGATCAACATGATCTTCTTTTGGAAATATAGGTGTAAATTATATATAATTTAATAGACAGTAGGTTCTGTATGTAGTTTATTATCTTTTTCATAGCACTGAGATGTACTGCTGATTTTAAAGCAATGAGCTGAGAAAGTTTGGGTGAAGGCAAGAAATTGTGAGTTATGGAAAGAGAATAAGAGTACATAATTGTTAATTTTGAATTGTGAAGACCAACCAGTCTGTCTTATGCAGAGCAACTATGAGCATTAAGTTTCAATTGTCATAACTGATGAGGCTTCTCACCGAAGTATGTTCAGAAGTATAGCTTGATGGAAGAATCAAGTGCCCCTAAACATTTTACTACCCTCCCAAAATGACATTTCTCAGGGTCATTTTGCAAAGGGTAGCTTGGGCACTTCAAGCTTAGACTATGAGATCTGGGGTTGAAGAATTAGTCTAATGGCACAGGATAGCCCAGTTGTCTCAGAGGAAGATCCATGATAGACCTGGTTGCAGAGTAGAAATGGATGGCTATTGAGGGCAGAGTCAATAGCAAGAATATATACTTGAGCAAAGAGCATCTAATGAAATTATATGTTAAACGTGCATTAATGGCCAGAATTCTCTTTTGCATTATAAAGGTTTCCCTCAACTTTATTTTCTGTATTTACAAAAATCAATATATATTCACACATATAAAATTAAAAGACAGTTTAAACCTTCACATGTGAAAATGCCCCAATGGAGGGCATTTATAACAATAGCACAGTTTAGTCTGAATTTCTAAGTTGCTAGATAGATCATTGTCCTTTAGTTGATAACACAGAGCAGATCTGCATGCTGATTATATTGCAAAATCAGCGAGGTATCAGAGAATGCAGCAAACCAAAGGATTGCTCTATGTTTGTATGGAGATATGTGCATGGCCAAACCTATCCCATACTCACCAGGGCTCTAGGCCACAAGGGGAGACTGATGCATAGCAACTGACAGGTAAGAGTGTGTTCCTTATGGTGGATCTCCATTCTTCTTAATAACATTCTTCTCAGATTATGCTCATAGGAAAGGTGTGCATGAACTTCCAGAGTTGCCACACTTTTTGTTGGCTCCACTCATAACAGCAGACTAACATGAGTGTTAATAGGTGGAACTTTTCCTGGCCTGGAGCTAGATGGGAAGACATGTTCAGTTCTATAAGACTACTATTAAACTGCAGAGTAATTGTTACATTCCATTGGTTCTTACAAAATTCAACATGCCTTAGAAAAGGAAATCCATAATTACATGCTATGTTTCCATCGGTGGGTAAATAATACAGAAATCAACAGAGATTTAAAATGAGCATTTGATAACAAATCTATTTTCATGATACATGGGACAAAATACATTTTTCACTTTAGGAAAGGAGAAATCAAATCAGCCTGAAAAATGTTTCTGTGCTTGTCTTAGGCTTCTGGTATGTTTGAAACAGATGATATCAGGAAGACAGGTGTTCCTAATGAAGAAACTTGTGATTCTTTCAAGATTAACACATTTATTATTACATAAGTGTTCTTTTAGATCCAAATCTACTTCATCAGTGGTGTGGACTGTGGTCCAGAGAGACTCACAGTTACTTTGGAGGGAGTGGGGAAAAGAAAGGGGGAAGAGTGCGAAAAGGCATACATCCTTGCAGAAAGGCAAAATTGCTTTGGATGTTAATTACAGAGAATAGTAAGACTTTTTTTCCAGGGCATGTCCTTGTCAGATGCTGAAAACACTAAAATCTTCCACTCCTGTTTCCCTGCTGAAGAACAACTATGAATAAAGAAAACCTCTGTACTTCTGAAGAAGCAGTTTATTACACACAAGAGCTTAGATATTGCAGTTAAAATGAGTTAATATTTAAGGTGCTGTAAGACCCTCAGATTGTTTGCTTTTTGTTCTTGTTTTTTATTTTATTTTCTTTGCTACAACAAACTGACACAATTAGCCCCGTTGGAAGGTTTTACATTATGATCGTTCAACCAGATTAGAAGTAGGCAAGTTTAAGAGGAGCTACATGGATGAAAACAGTGTGAAATGGTAGTAATACATTGATACGAGAACATTAGAAAAAGTGGCTCCATTTGTGTTCATCTAAGAATTTTAAGCAACGTGCTGTTGCTGCTGCCGCTGCCAAAGGCCAGTTGCCAACATTAATCACTGTCACTTTTATCTGTGAGAAAGCAGTCTCCCATTTGTACCAAAGACAAAGCAGTTCCAAGAACTGGAACAAAATGAACACCAGTAGCATCAATGCTGTGAGAGAAAAAAAGTGGCCTTAATGCACAAGGGGAATCTCTCCTGGCTGATAGTCCCTGAATCTGTTTCCAATTAGGCCATAAAAAAAGGCTCAGCAGACAGGCTGATCTAAAGATTGCATGGTGACTGGCACAGTTGATAGCAGCTTAATTTTAACCACCACTACAGACAAATTAGGTAGATCATGCACTCTTTCTTTTCAAAGCCATTTGGAACAAATTAGGCTGTGGGTTTATGAGCTGCTTTGAAAATCATAATTTCCCTGTCATGGCAATGGAAACAGATGTAGTGAGGCAGGTCCTCTACTGGTCTTTGGAAAGGAAAGTGTTTGGTTTCCCACTGGGGCGGAAAAGAGAGACTGGGGCTGAGGTTACAACCTAGTGATCAGAGCAAGACTGTAGGTACCCCACCCCAACCCCGATTGGATGCTGGCAGTGTATGAATCTGAGAAATAAAATTGCTGATCAAATGAGCCTTTTTTGGCCAAATTATTTTTTAAAAATAGAACCATGTTTTGTAATTTGGTCCAGTCCAATTTTGTTCACACTGCAAAGATGCAGATGCTTGAGGCTTCTTCCCCTGATCACGTTCTGCCCCTTCTTTGGCTTGAAGAGCCCTTGGCCTCAAACAATTAAGCAGATCTTTATCCACGTGGACAGAAACTTTTATTTGATGAAAGCTGATTCTCATGAACTTGAATGTCATACCCCAAACCACTTCCTGCACTTATGCGGAACTGAGGAAGGCATACGAGTCCTGGATGAAGGCCAGGAAAAATGGTTGAGCCTGTCGACGAGATAAAGCTCCTTAGCTTAATCCAGAAAAATGGAAATGATTTCTTTAAGACGGTTCATCCCAATATAAATTAGGCAGGCTGATTAAATAGGGAAGAAGTTAGACAGTTATGCTTATTAAGAATGGGGAAAAAACACTGAAAAAGAAGTGGCATTGTTCCACTGCTTTCCCTGCACTTTTAGTAAGCAAAAAAGGAAAAGCCCAGTGTCCTTCACGGGAGGACCCTTCTTGCTGAGCAGCTGAGCTGAATCCTGGAACAAGTGAAATACATGTCAATTGTACCAAATAAAATGCATGATAGTCTGAATAGAGTCTCTATTTATTATCAATTAATACTTCCAGGTAGTCTTTGCACATCTGGAATAAGGAGAAAGTCTTCAAGGAGCATGTGAATTCTACATCAGTCTTATTTTAGGAGGCATCATAGAATCGCAGAGTTGGAACACTGAATCGCAGTCTATCTTGATGTAACTTAAATCCCAGTTCTGAATTCAAATCAAGAGGAAAGGTTATGTAGCAGTTGCAAAGCAGACTAGCATAAGAGCTGATCAGCAGGAGTGTCCACAGGGTATGCTCAAAAAGGTCACGATGGTGGCCACGATGGTGCTGTTGACGTTCTGCCCATTTTTTATGTGTGTCTCACATCTCTGCTGATCAGTTTTAAAAGCATGTGTTTTTTTGCTTTATGTCATTCTTTCCCAACCTGACACCTTCCAGCTATATTGGGACTACAATGCTAATTTT